TTTTTTTTTTTTTTTTTGGGCGGAGCCAGGGATTGAACTCAGGCCCTTGCGCTTGCCGGGGAAGCGCTTAGTCCACTGAGACATCTCCCCAGCCCCCTCTATTACCTTTTAAATATTCCTGTTCTCTCTGTTCTTTTTTTCTGGTGCCCTGCTTAGGTACATGTTAATCTTTCTTGCTATCAAACTTTACTTATCATACTACTATGTCTGTCTATTGTGTTGGTGATTGAATTGGAGTGTTTATGGTTTTTATTTTGATACTTATGCTTGAGGTCTTGCGTATTTTCCTGTCTGTTGTTCTTTTCTCATTTTCAAAATTTGCATTTACTGAACACATTAAATACTTTGTTGGGCTTTTGTTAGTGTTACTCTAATTTTTACCAACTCTTGTCCACAGTAGTACCTTGTGTATGTCTTTTTTTGATAATGTGTTCCTTAGAATTCATCTGTGGAGAGTTTTTTAGGTTTGGTTAGAAGGTACATTCTTCCCTAAAGAAATCTGTTTGCTTCTAACAAAGCTCAGAATTTGCACTACTAGCTCAAGGGCCATTTAAATTGTTAGCATGATATTTTTGTGTGTTTGTTTGAATGTGAATTTGCAAGTGAACAGTCTGGCTCATGGTTTTGGATTTTTAGGGGAGAATTAAAAACATTTTTTAAATTCCCCTAGGACAGGTTTACTTTTGATTTATAATTACGTTTGCCTGTGTAGACTTTTGTAGTTCAGACTTACAAGGGCAATGGCTGGTTAGCCTGTCTTACTTTCTGTTCACCTGAAGCTGTACTTTGTCTCTAGTGTCCTACATTTCCCTCAAAAACAAAATTTTGAGGTGCTAAGTTAGATGGCTGCTAAAATGATGAAAGCAAATTGAACTCTTGGCTACCTCACTGGATTTTAGCCTTAATTCAGTCTTGTTTGATGAAACCTGTATTGGCAGAGCAAAGATGGCTAGGTTGTTTTTAGATTTGTTCAAGGTAGCATGTATAACCAGTGATTGCAAACCTTTTAGAGACCAAGTGCCAAACTGCAGCCCCAAAACCACTTTTGCTGGAAGAAGTGGTACATTTCCGTAATCTCAGCTCTGTGAGGCTGAGGCAGAACAATCACCACAAGTTTGAGGCCTGACTAGACTACAATAGGGAGTACTGAGTCAGAAGGTACTTGAGTCAAAACAAATAAACAAAACCCACTTGTTTGTCACAAAGTGCTAATGTTGCAGTTAAAGCTAAATAAGGAGGTTTCAGTTAGGAAAACTAAGTCTATGTTAATAGCTTTTGTTTTAAAAGCACAATAACGTATGTACCATAGGTTCACAACTATTAATGAAGAAGTCATTTATTTGTTTTGTGACAGGGTTTCCTTATGAGATTTAGGCTGGCCTTGAACTTATAATGATCCTTCTGACTCAGTACTCCCAAGTTCTAGGATATAGGTGTGTACCACTACAGCTGGATAGGTCTTTTGTTTGTTTCAGTAGTTTTCTAAAATTACCCTAATGCAATAAAACAAAATAAAATTACCCTAACTTGGGGCTGGCTGGGGAGATGGCTCAATAGAATAAGCGCTTCCCTGGCAAGTGCAAGGGACTGAGTTCAATCCCTGGTTCCGCAGAATGAATGAATGAATAAACAAATAAATAAATAAAATTACCCTAGCTTTGTGTAAAATGTCTTACTACCTAGTAGTATTTTTTTCTGTAAAATTTTTTTTAAAAAAAACTTGTCAAAGGGGTTGACAAGAAGTTGAAAGGAATTGATTGCATTTATTAAGTAACATGAAAGTATATTGAAATAGTCACAATCATCTTCTTTTCCTGAGCATGTATATGTATCAAGGTTTCTCAGTCTTTTGTTCTTAAATAGAATTTTAGGTTTTTCTCCCATGGAAGTCTTTATGATCTTATAAACTGTACTTAATAGGTTTAGTTTCTTGTACGGCTACCTTTTTGTGGAATGTGGGAGTTTGGGATTCTGTGTGCACCCATGCCAAGCTACATCCTCAGCCCTGTTCTTTGGAGATGGGAGTCTTGCAAAATTGACCAATTTAGGCTTGAATTTTCAATCTTCCTGCTTCAGCCTCTCACAATGTTTAGATTATAGGTATATACTTCAAATAGGTATGCAGCTAGGAACTCTTGACTTCCATATGTTACTCTTGTACCCAACTTTATTGAATTACCTTACAAGAGCTAGTCACTTAACACTTGCATTGGATTTTGTAGATAGCTTGCACCTTTCCTTTCAATTCTTAAACTTGCCAATTCACTTTTACTGAATTGTCCACCTATTCTGCTTAACCATTTTACACAGTGGTGATGATAAAATGGATATAGTTAAAGGAACTGCTTCTGAACCTAGCATCTCAGACCAGATGCTTGCTGTAAGTTTTTCTTCCAACTAACTTACCCCTGTGCTTTCAACATCTTCTGTTTTGTTTCTTTTCCCCCATAATTTTATTGATAAACAAATAGCAATGAGACAGTTTCAAATCAAATTGGTAGGACAGTTTCAGTAATTAACACATTGCATACATTCTTCCTAGTGGTTAATTGCTGTACAAGATGCGGACATGGTATCCTATTTACAAACACCATTAGAACAAATCACTCTATTCATTAAGAGAATGTAACTATATATGTATCCTAACCACTTTGAATACACAGATACAAAATGGACATTCATCTGTATACCCTTTTTTTGTTAAGTTCCATTATTTGAATATTATAGGTATGTAAACTCAGCAAAATATTCTAAAATAGTCCAGTAGCCCATAATAGTATTGGGTCTTCCGCTTTACTGGCAATGTCAGAACATCCTCTGTTTGTTTTGTCTAGTATAGGTGCTCAGTAGATTTTTATGGAACTAGAGGAATGAGACCTGTCTTTTTTGAGGAGTCAAGCTTCAAAAGAATTAGTTGACATTTTTGTGAAGAGTTGGGTTTGATATGGACAGCTGTGAGGGAGGTGGTAAAACCACAAACTGCAGCAGAACAATATGGTTTGGTGGAGATGGAGCAAAGCAGAGGTCATCGAGGGAAGAGAGTTAAATGTATTTAGTATAAAAGGTTCAAACTCATTCTGTGTACAATCTTACAAGATATTGTAATTATCCTCTTTGTTTTCTGGTGGCAAGTAAATAATAAATGAAAAGTCTTAAATACCTCTTCCTTAAGAAAGTCCAAATTGCTTTCTCCTCTTGTTTTCACCACTACTTTTTTTCATTGATTTTATTACTACAGTTTTAGTATACATAATGGTCCACATTCATCATTGGTAATTTGTGCCTTTGCATTATATATCTTGCCTGGTTTTATTTTCCCCATTTCTCTGCTGTTTCTAAGATAACTCTTTATTTCCTGTCAGATAACTGAGGAGATGATGGATCAAGCAAATGAAAAGAAAGGAGCTGCCATTGATGCTCTAAATGATGGTAATTTTTTTCTTCTTGCTATGTTTCTGTATAGTGTAAATGTTTTATTTTTAAAGAGTGGGAAAGTTGAAGGGAACTTAAACTTATTATTTGAGTATACTAGAGCAGATAGTGCCCTGTTATCTACTCAACCACTTCTTTGTCATTGATAAAGAGGTTGATGTCACTGAGTTTCAGTAATCATTCCTTAGAGCTCAGACAGATCCTGATGTAATTCATAGCCTCTTCTTTCCTGAGGTGTCACTGATACTTCTATTTTAAAAAATCTGTTTATTAATTTGGTACAGGGTCTCACTAAGCAGCTCAGAGTTGTAGTGAGCCTCCTGTCTTAGTCTCTCCAGCGCAGGGATTATAGGTGTGCACCACCATGTCCAGTTTTGGTTCCTGGCTCAGTGTGCTTGGGGTTCCAACACTGTTACAGCATGTGGTACCAGGGATCAAACCAGGATCCTTGGCTCGCCAGGAAGGCGCTTAGATGCCTGAGCTATCTCCTCAGCCCAGTGATGTTAACTTGTGTGAGACGGTGTTAGATGAACAACTTGTAGTAATTTGTAGTAAAAGTACTCTTTTGACAAATGGTATTTCTAGACATTTAACACTTTATAGTTCTTGTATATCAGTTCTAATTTATAAGCCATTATAAAATTTGATACTTTTACTACCACCAGTGTTATTTAGTGTGTATTTTACATAGTGGTATGACTAGTGTGTCACTGCATAGCAGTTTGGGTGCAGTTCAGTAGATGCCATCATGATGCTGATTTGCATTTGAACTTCATGTGTAATGGATTTAGAAGATGACTGAAGTTTATTTTAGGATGAGTTCAGTATTGCTGTTCAAATTGGCAAACACATTCTCTTCTTTTGTAATCCTACCACCTTAATTTAGGGCCTTATCATTTGTTTATTTTTTGCCATTGTGTTAATAGTTGTGCCACCCTAAAATATCTTTATTGCTTTCTGTTCACCCTAAATTCATACTAAGAACTGCTTTTAATATTATTTTATTCTGATCTATAAATGTTTGCATATACATTTTGAAGATCTTCATTTACATGTCAGCCTGCTAATTAGTCATACTCCATATTTAATCTTCTCATCTTTTTTTGAATATTAATCTTCCATTCCTGTTACACTTCACTGTCTTAGGGTGTTTCTTTACTTGTGCTTGTCTACTTAGAAAGCTCTTCATCTCCCTTTCTTTAATTCAAATTCATCCTTTATTCCCAGCCAGTACTCTTCCTAACCAATCCTTTTCCATAATAACCTTAATTTCCCTACCACCTGTGATTACTATTTAATCAACATTATGTCCTACATGCCTGACAGTTTAAGGTAAAATGCACATTATTTCACTAGAACCTTTTGTAGATTGAAAACCTTGAGATTTAAAAAAATTGACATGTACAGGATCTTTGTTGTCACCTCAGTTATATTTTTGTTACTCATTTTAGGCATATTGTCTTTGTTCTATTTTACTTTTTATTGTTTTACCAGTATTTAATGATGAAGTGAGGCCACCACCTAATAAGTCAGGTTTTTATTTTGCAATATAGTTCCAAACTCTTTTGTCTATAAATTTGATCTAGTTCTAGTTTTAGAATTTGCACACAATTTTTATGGTATCTCCTAAGTGATAAAGCAAGCACTGTAAGCCAGAGATTGAATTCAAGTCCCACCTGGAGTTAGGAAGGCATTTTCACATGCAGAGATAGGAATATAATAAGATTTGATTGTGTACCGCTTGGAATTCCAGGTTTAACGCTTAACTATGTCTTCTTTTCCATGACAGCTATATATTTGAGTAGTTATGACAGATTATATGGTCTGCTAAGTGTAAAATAATTATTATATGGCTATTTCAGAAAGTTTGAGGGCTGAGCATTTAGCTCAGTGCCTTCCTGGCAAGTGTGAGGTCTTGAGTTCGATTGTTGGCCCAGAGGGGGAAGGGAAAAAAAGTTAGACAAGTAGCTAATCTGTAGGAAGCTTTTATTTGGTTGAGAAGATATAGAAGGGGAATTACATTTGGAGGTGGGATGAACAATGTTCAATGGTTCCAGTTTTTGTTTTTTAAATAGTTTATTTATTTATTTATTTATTTATTTATTTA